CCGTTTGACTTAACAGAAGGAGAATCAGAACTTGTATCAGGCTTCAATGTCGAATATGCCCTTTCACCTTATTTTTTATAGCTGAATACACAAATATTATTATAATAAATGCCCTAACAGCAACCTTCTTTATAGGGGCATTACTCAACCCTTCCCTTCCTGAAAGTTTTACACTCAGTTTCACCCTAAAAACCATCATTTTAACTTCTATTAATTTGAGCATCCTATCCACGATTTTGCTATGATCAAATTATGCATCTTTTATGAAAAAGCTTCCTACCCCTCACTCTGGTCCTATGCATATGACATATCTCCCTTCCCATTATCACTGCATGTGTACCAACCCTAATCTAAGAAATACATTTGATAAAAGAGTTACTTTGATTGAGTAAATAATAGAGGTTTAAATCCTCTTATTTTTAGAACCATAGGACTTGAACCTAATCCTAAGAATTCAAAATTCTTCATGCTACCTTTACACTGTGTCCTAAAAAGTAAGGTCAGCTAAATAAGCTATCGGGCCCATACCCCGAAAATGTTGGTTTATATCCTTCCTGTACTAATTAATCCCCTAACCTCCTTGACAATCTACCTCACCTTATTTTCTGGAACAATAATTACACTATTCAGCTCCCACTGACTACTTATTTGAGTAGGCTTAGAAATAAGTATGCTGGCAATTATTCCCATTCTAATGGATAAAAGGTATCCCCAATCCACAGAAGCTGCATGCAAATATTTCCTAATTCAAGCCACCACATCAATAATCTTAATAATAGGCACGGTTATTAATTTTACAAACTTAGGCCAATGGACCCTATCCAATTCATGCAATCAAATCTCATCATTTATATTCACAATAGCACTCTCAATAAAAATGAGACTTGCCCCATTTCACCTTTGAGTACCAGAGGTCACTCAAGGAATTGCACTTAAATCAGGACTAATCCTACTAACATGACAAAAAATTGCCCCAATCTCCATGCATATCAAATTGCATCTTCCATAAACTCCACCCTTATATTACTTATGGGAATCCTTTCTATTATGTTAGGAGGCTGAGGAGGACTCAACCAAACTCAACTATGAAAAATCTTAGCATATTCATCAATCACACATATAGGATGAATAATAGCAATTATTACATATAATCCAACTTTGACAATATTTAACTTAATCATTTACATTACACTTACCATTAACATATTTATACTTCTCCCCTACAACAAAAACTTCTACCCTCTCCTTATCAAATTTATGAAATAAATTCCCCCTCCTAACCCCAACAATTCTAATCATACTAATATCACTAGGAGGATTACTTCCTCTAACCGGATTTGCCCCCAAATGAATTATTATTAAGGAACTAATTTCAAACAACAATTTTATCTTCTCTATACTAATAGCAATACTAGCCCTCCTAAATTTATATTTCTACACATGACTTATTTATTCTACATCCCTAACCCTATTTCCATCATTTAACAACACTAAAATAAAGTGACAATTTAAAAATACAAAACTAACTCCCCTTCTACCAAATTTTATTATTATCTCTACCCTCTCCCTACCACTCACACCTCTCCTATCATCTCTGAGCTAGGAATTTAGGTTAACCCAGACCAAGGGCCTTCGAAGCCCTAAGTAAGTGTCCAACACTTAATTCCTGAGTTAAGGACTGCAAGACTCTACCCTACATCAACTGAATGCAAATCAATTAATTAAGCTAAGCCCTTTCCATTTAGACTAATGGGATTTAAACCCATAAAACTTCAGTTAACAGCTAAATGCCTAATTCAACTGGCTTCAATCTACTTCTCCTGTGGTAAGCAAAAAGGCCGGAGAAGCCCTGGCAGAGTTGAAGCTGCTCCTTTGAATTTGCAATTCAATGTGATTATTCACCTCTGGGCTTGGTAAAAAGAGGGCTCAATCTCTGTCTTTAGATTTATAGTCTAATACTTACTCGGCCATTTTACCATCTACCTATGTTTATCAACCGTTGATTCTTCTCAACTAATCACAAAGATATCAGAACACTTTACCTCCTATTTGGCGCTTGAGCTGGAATAGAAGGAACAGCACTTAGTCTATTAATTTTAGCTGAATTAGGCCAACCCGGAGCCCTGTTAGGCGATGATCAGATCTATCATGTTATCGTAACTACACAGGCATTTGTTATAATTTTCTTTATAGTCATGGCAATTATGATTGATGGATTTGGGAACTGATTAATACCCCTTATAATCGGAGCCCCTGATATACCATTTCCCCATATAAATAACATGAGCTTCTGGCTCCTTCCCACCTCCTTCCTCCTCTTGCTTGCTTCTTCTATAGTTGAAGCAGGTGTGGGAATAGGTTGAACAGTATATCCCCCATCAGCTGGAAATCTTGCCCATGCAGGAGCCTCAGTAGAATTAACCATCTTCTTCCTTCACTTAGCAGGAGTATCATCAATTCTAGGAGCGATTAATTTTATTACTACAATTATTAACATAAAACCCACTGCTATATTCCAATATCAAACCCCTCTGTTCATATGATCCATACTAATCACAGCAGTATTACTTCTTTTATCTCTTCCAGTTTTTGCAGCAGGGATTACAATACTTATAATGTGCCTTAGTGTGGGTCTGTTATGATTTTGTACACTTGATGTCCTGTAGGCTTCTTGAATTTGGATTTCCAATTCACTCTTCATGTTTGGAAAGTTTTCTAACATTATTTCATTGAGTAGATCGTTCATTCCTTTGGTTTGAAACTCTATGCCATTCTCTATCCCAATAACTCTTAAATTTGTTTTTTTTTTTATGCTATCCCATATTTCTTGAATGTTCTGCTCGTGGTTTCTTATCATTTTTGTTGTGTGGTCTATGTTCTTTTCAAGATGATTTATTTGATCTTCGCTGTCTGATATACTATCTTTCAACTGGTCTACTATGTTGGTATGCTTTCATTTGAGTTTTTAATTTGGCTTATTATTTCTTTCATTTCAAGGATTTCTTTTTTCTTTTTTTAGAATCTCTACCTCCTTGTTGAGGTGATCTTTTGCTTCTTGGATTTGTTTATGTAGCTCATTGTTGAAGTGATCTCCCACTGCCTGTATTGGTCTATTATGTCTTCTTTGAGATCCCAAAACATTTTACCCACGTATAGCCTGAAATTTTTCTCTGTAATTTTTTTCTGCTATAGCTGCCAATTCTTCTAATGATGTGTTGTCTTGATTTGTTTGTGGTGCTTTCTTCCCTTATCTTTTTATGTCATTCATGTGTCTTCCTTTCCATCTCTGTAAATCTGGTGTGTAATTGTTTTTGCTCTATAGATTTGTAGTGTTCTTGTAGGGTTCCAAGTTCTCTCTTTTGTGGGGAAGAACAATGTTAACAGATCCCTATATCAACAATACATCACCTATGAATAAATTATTTTTCTTAAGACATTTATTAGTCTCAATGTCCAGAAATGTTGGATTTATTTATTATTTAAAATATAATCAGTAGTTTCATAAAAAGGTTACAGATTCTGGTGGTGGACAATGAACTGTGGGTCAGGCATAGGATGATATGCTGAGAGGAAAAGATGTGAGGGTATAGAGTTAATATATCTTAGGAAATGTGAAGAAGAAATCTAGTGAAGAGGGTTAGTAGCAGGAGAATAGATAGGAAGTACTTTTGGGTAGACAATTATGTGGAAAGACAGTAGAGTACACAAAACAAACATACATATGTATTTAAAAATACAGGATGTAAAACAGTAAAATTTGGAGGGTGAAGAGAAAAAAAAGAGAAGAAAGGGAAAGAAAGAAAAAAGAGAGAAGAAAAAGAAAAAAAGGCTTATGCAATTCCTCTATATTATATTATTCAGGTGATTAGTCCTCAAAGTTCTATTTCATGCAAAGTTCTTGGTTTCACATATGTTGGGGTTGTGAGGGCCAGAGGATAGAAGGGTAAAAGAGAAAGAAGAAGAAGAAAAAAAACACTCTTAGAGACCTATTTCTTTTTCTTCCCATCCAGTAGGTGTCTCTGCCCTCAGATGATATAGGGTGTGAAGACTGGACCTGGTGTGGAGTGTCTGGAAGCAGGGAGTGCTGCCCACCAGTCCCAGCAAGGAAATAGCACCTCACAGGTCTTTCTCTGCAACCACTCATGTGACTTGAGCCCTTGGTATCCTCTCCCTTTCTTGCCCAGAGATTTCCCAGATCCTAGTCTCTCTGTTATGCTCCAGACCTTCGTCTCCCCCCTTCTCTTACTTATCAGGTCCCAACTGTGGGACCTCTCATCCCCAGGGTCATTCAAAGTGGATGGCACCCTGTTCACACTACACTCCTATGCAACTGAGAGCTGTTTTTGTGTTGGGTGGCCACTGTGTCGAGTTATGACTGCTGCAGGTGGAGGGGACTGGAAATCGGGTACCTGCTCAAATGGCGATCCGAGATAGCCATGCCCACCAAAAATGGCCAGGACGGTTTTCCAAGTCGGTCTGCCCCCAGTGCCAGTGTGTCTGGTGAGGTGGTGGGAGCTGGTCGATGGCCTTATGCTGTAGACAGGCAGCAAACGCATGACCTGCATGGGAGCCGCGCACAGTCTGGAGTTCTGCAGAGGTGCCTATAGGTACTTCCACTAAGCCACTTGTGAGCAGTGCGCGAACTAGAACTGCAGGCTTTGGGTCCCAAGTTCGGAGACCTACTCGGGCCCAGAGGCTCTGATTTCTGTGTGGGTGGTCGTAGCACTGGTTAATTCCGCAAAAATCCACTGTGTAGGGGGTCGTCCCACACTCTCTGAGATGCTGTACTCCACCTAGGCGAAACCCCTTAGAGAACTGCCCATCTGCTCTCCCAACTTCACAACACAGAGCAGCCAGAAACAGGACTTACTGTATTCTGCCATTTTCCTCTCCTCTGCCTTTCTATTGTGACATGTGTACTGGTTTATTTTGTATTTTCCACAGGTAGGTTATAACATCTGTACATATTCATTATTTTATAAATTAAATAGTAGTAAGTATTCACACTTTCTACATTTTTCTTTTATTCATAATACAACTTAAAGATGTTCCCCTTCACATAAACAAGTCCCCCATTTTAAAAAATGATTATAGAGCATTATTCTGAAAATATGTCCTATAATTTACCTTGTGCATACATCACAGAGAAACTTTAAGTTGCTTCCAGCTTTTTGTAATTATCATGACCTTGAAATGAGTAAACCACTACAATTATAGTTTTCAATTCGGTGAAGAGATCCATAAGAAAATTTCCTATATGTAGAATTGCTAGACTGAGGTATGTGCATTTTAATTTTTGATGTATATTATTAAAACTTTTCTTCACTACCATTAAGAAGGCAAAACTATGGATTTTACAGTTTTATTTTGCATACTTTTTTATTAGGCAATTTAAAATTTTTCTCATGTTTATTTTACTTAAATAATGCATTTGTTAGTCACGTCCCACAGAGCTCATCATAACTTTGATATCTCCATGACTAAAATATGAATTGCAAATATTTTCTTCACATTGCTATTTATCTTTTTGCTTTACTTAAGTCTTTTCTAGAAATTATTTCATACTGTCTTATCATTTCTCATTTCTTTAATTGAATAAAGTTTGTTTCTCTTAGGGGTAGGCTCTGATAATCTTTGATAATAGCTTTTTATATTTAAACTTTTCTTGAATAAAATTGATATTACTCAAGCACCTTCAAATGTAGCTAGTTAAATAAAAGATGCTTCATTTTCTAATTTCCTATCAAGAATCCTTAGGTTATTCACCAAAACTTGCGTATGGCACTCAAAATTAAACCTACTAATTAATCATACACACCAAGGGTTTCCTATAAGAAAACCAATGCCAACTACACAGATGATCTTTAAAATGTTCATGTATTTGTTCTCTTCAAATCTTTTAATCTCTTCTTTTAGTTGATTTATCTCTTTATTTAATGCCTCAGACTTCTCTCTGAATCCCTCAGTAAGCAGTTCTTTTTGGACCTATAAAAGAGGAAGAGTCCACTTTTGAGAATCCCTGGTTTTTAACTGTCAGAGTTCTGGATTTAAGAAGTTCAGCAGTTAACATGTGTGTCTATTTCTGTACTCCTTAGAATATTCTTTGGTATTTCCAGACCTTTGACCTGAAAAGACTTACACACTTGTGAGATTTCCTCACACTCACTGGAGGTGGAGAGGGATTTTATTCCAGCACAAAGGATGCTGTGTCGGGGAGAATGAGGTTGAATTCTGATTGATTCTCAGATCCACCAAGGTGGCATGGCTGTGATCCTCTAACAACTCATGGGAAATGCTGCCCTTGTACAGAACACTGGTCATCAAGCTCCTGGTTATGAGACAGGTTTGTTTTACTCTACTTACATAGATGAACCAGGAAGACACGGAAGCAAGAGTAGCAATTTCTGATATTTCACTGTCCTAATTTTATAAGAGGCCAAATCTGATGCATACAGACCAGAAGGATCTGTTTCAGGTCTCTAGGACGGTTGTGCCAGAATCCTCCCCAACTGGAGCATATAATCTCAACAAAGAGTAATCCACCACCCTGGGAGTTATTATTTTGTACCCTCCAAAGTCTATCAATACACAAAATGCTGTAGTCTCCTAGATTTATAGGCTTCATTAGGATCCAGGTGCACTTGAGGTGTCTGTGTCAGTGAAACATTTGCCTTTTAGTGTCCCTTTGGAATGCTGTCTGTATCTAACATCTTGTCCCATCCCATCCTGAGAAATCAGGCACTGTCTGTCAGCTCCTGCCAGGCCCTGTAGAGACTCACCTTCAGCATGTGCTTCAGCACCCTTTCCTGCTCTCTCAGAATGCTCTCCTTTTCTCTCTCCATCTTCTCCTTAAGCTGTTTCATATTTTCCCGGAAGCTTCTCTCTTGGGCCTCCATCTTTTCCTGCTGCTCCTTGTTCTGCTGTCTTAGCAGCTCCTGTTCCTTCTTGGCTGCCTCCTTCTTGGCCCGCTCCTCTGCTCCACAAAGGTTTTAGAAGAGAAAAAAAAAAAAAAAAACAGGCTTGCATTCTAGCTTCCTAGGTTAGCACACCAAGGTGATTTCATAAAGGCAAGAGGGAAATCTCTCAATTCTCCCATTAGCCATGACTGCCATGACTGAAAGGTTACATTTATAAATGTAATGGAGAGCTCTTTGCTTGACTCCCCTCTTGCTCTCAGATTTAGCAGGTCATGTGCTCCATAGCAGGAAGGAGCTTCTGGATTCAGGATGGTTTTCTTGTCCAGCCAGCCAAGGTCTGTGCAGGAACCTCCCCACCCTCTGAGAGCTATGACCTCCCCTGTACCTGCTATGGCCTTCTCTCCCTTAGTGAGGGCTTCATCTGAATGCAGAATGGATTTTTCTATGACAGACTGTGACTGTAGGAAGCTCTGGAGGACCTCCATTGCCTGGGGAACCAAGAAGAAACCAAAAAACTTTAGGGATCAAAGATCTGTCTTCAGATGAGGAAGGTATTATTCAATAGATCACAGAACTGACTTTAAATTTTGCATTCTTTGTAGTAGGATCCTGTTTGTTCCTTTCCTTTCCTGGACACAACAGAAGTCCATGCTCTTTGGTAAGACATGAAAACTCTGTATTGCAGCCTCCTCTCCCATGAATGCTACCCACCAGCCACCCGAGGTTGCAGCCCCAGTCAGCACGTCTACAAACACATATCCCCTCCATTGATTGTGGTATGTACACATACTTTTTCTTTCTTAACTAGGATCACATCTACAGTTTCTTTGACTTATATCTCCCTCCTCCCATACCACAAAGCTTTCCTAGGCTGCCTCTGAGTTTTGTTTTTCAACTTGGTTGAGAATAATAAGTAAAAATTGTAGACATTGAAGATGTATAATATGATGTTTTTGTATATGTCTGCATTATTAAATGATGACTACAATAGCTTCACAGAATTACATTTTCCACTGTCATGAGAATGACGACATCTATTCTCTTAGCAACATCTAGGTACTCAAGAGACTATTGTAACTCCAGTAATAATTGTACATCAGGTGTGCAGCACTTACTCATCTATAGCTGTATGTTTATGTATTTGACCAATATCTCCTCTTCCCTGCTCTCAGGTCCTGCTAATAACCATTGTACTCTAACTCTACTCTATGTTAATATGAGCTGGATGGTGTTTTTCCCTTGTTTGTTTGGTTGGTTTTTGTGGCACCAATGACCTTTAACTACACAGCATTTGTTTTTCTGTGTCTGGCTCATTTCCTTTAGGGCAATGTTCTCAGGGTAACCCATGTTGTCATCATTGGCAGGATTTTTTTTATTGTAAAGACTGAATGATATTCTGTCACATATATGACATATATAGTTATATATGTGACAGAATATATGTATTACTTAGTAATATATGTATTACTAAGTAATATATTAATACATATAATGTAATATATTAATACATATATGTATTACTTAGTAATCACAACTGCATGCTACTGGCATAAACACAGACACAATGACCAGTGGAAGAGAATAGAGAGCTAGGAAATAAATTGGACCACTGTCTTACTCCTTATATGTAAATGAACTAAAATTAATTAAAGGTCTAAACATAAGACCTAAAACTCTAAAATTCCTAGATGAAAACTTAGGTGAAAAAAAATCTTTAACATTTGCCTTTTCAATGATCTTTTGGATTTTAAATCAAAGGCATAGGCAATAAAACCAAAAATAAATAATTGGGACTGTATCAAACTAAAGTTTCTGTGCAACCCAGAAACTATCAACAAAATGAAAACTTCATTGTATTGAATGAGAAAAAAATATTTGCAAACCATATATTTGATAAAGGTTTAATTTCAAAGTGTGTTAGAAATTCCTAAAACTCAGCAGATAAAAACCACATGTAACTAGATTAAAAAATGGGGAAAGGACCTGAATAGACATACGACCTGCTGAATCTTTCCTGACTAGTTTCAATTCATAAAATATCTTGTATATTCTCAAAGGGAAACATTTAATCCTATGGGACTTTCCATCTACTTGCAGATTAGAATGTCCAACAGATAATTATGAAAGTGCTCAACAGCACTAACACCGGTGAAGCACAAAATGAAAACCACAATGAAATCACAGCACATCTGTAAGAATGGTTATTATCAATAGGTCAAAGGAGAACAGATATTGGTGAAGATGTGGAGAAAAGAAAACCTTGTAAAACAGCTGTAGGAATGTGAACTGGTGCAGACACCATGGAAAACAAGGAGGATTCTAAAAGAAAAGAATTCTGAGTTTCTAATGGCTACTGTATCAGCTCTGTCACTGGCTGGCTGTATGATATTCAGCCACTTATTAGATCCTCATACACTACATTTCTTTACTGCATAAATGTGGAAGGTAGTAGTACCTAGCTTACATAATTCTGAGAATTAAATTGGTAATGCAAGAAAATGACCTGAAACTGTCCTGATATAGGAAGTGAATGTTCAATGTCTATTAACAACTGTTGCTCATCATCCTCAATGTTACTACCTATCAGCACACACCAGTTACCATTAACAGATAGTGTTAATTCACCATGTCCTACTGAATATTATTTTACCCATTTGAAGTATGATACATTTTATGAGAACAAAGTTATTTCCTTCATATTGTATCTTCTTACTTGGCCTACAAAACTACCATTTGGGGTAAATAAAAGAAATAGTTGGTTTCACCTGAATTCCTAGTTCTAAATCCTCTCTGGGAAGAACTATTTTCAGTTTATTGAAGGGTTTCTAATGGGTAGTGAATATAAAATGATATAAATGTCAACATATTGCCATTCTCTGCCTTTGTTTCACAAATAGTGCTATAAACTTAAGAATTTGAGGAGGAGCAACCCAGACCCTGTGACTACACTCTGTTGGCCATCTCTCCTATCTCCTTACTCCTCACCTTCACTCCTTTCCTGGGCACTAGCTTGTAGTCAAGTTCCACTTTCTCCTTTGCTTCTAAGTAGAGCCTGTGGCCTCCAGGAATGGAGAATGCGCCTCTTGAGATGCCTTGCATCAGGGGCTCTGAAAGCTGCTTCAGCAGATCCTGGCAGTATTTAACTGATGCCTCTTCGTTCTGTAGCAAAAGAGCTTCCTTTTTTCTCTCTATGGTTTCCTGGAAGGGTAATGTAGGGAAATAAAATAATAAGTTGTTAGAAGGAAGGTCCAGTGGGGACCCTCTCAGAAGAAGCCATCTGACAGCCTCAGAGTGCCCTAAGTCATGGAAAGGAGTTAGGAGACATGCTTCAGTCTCACGTCTGGGCAATTCTCTGTGCAACTGAAAATGGCCTTAATGTCCCTGTGGTTAAGTTCTAGCTCTGTAAAATGATGGATTTAGAAGACATAATCTTGATGGTTTGTTTAGCTATAATATTGTTAACAGGGACCAAAACCCAAATTGTCACTAATAAAAAGCTAAATTTTTAGGAGGAAGAGGAGGATAGTCAATAATAAAAAGTAAATTTGGGAAGGAATGTGGATGTCTGTGGTTGAAATTATATCCATGGCAAACAATTCCCCAAGTAATGAGTTGAGTGTATTCTAAACAGAGTTTTGAACCCTTTATAAATTCTGTCAGTGAGGGTTTGAATGTGTGAGGATACTGGGATAGATTTTTTGACTGTTTGTTGGTTTTTGTAAATTATAATGCAGTGGACTTCCTAAGAGATTTTTGTCAGTGTTGTGTCAGTTCCAGATTAACTGAAAGACAAAATTCCAGTGAAGGTGCCCCTGGTCAGCAGAATTAGGCAGTCCCTGGGAGTTTTCTCCCTTGGTGTCCACACCGTGCCTTGTCCCTGGGTCTGTGAATGTGAGGGAAATTAATCCTAAGATTCCAACATGTTACATATCCCAGGTTAACTTTAAAAATGGAGAGTACTCCATAGGACAACAACTAATCACACAAACTCTCAAAAGCCGTTTTCTTTCACTGTGGCATAAGAGGAAATCAGAGACTAGAGAAAAGATTTGATGGGCCCTTGCTTGCTTGAAAGTGGAGAGGTCTTTCTCAGAGCACCAACAGGAGAACTAAGGTCACTTCACTCCTTGTTTTCTGTGGATGATGCACTGAGCAAAGAAATCACACATCCTGAGCAGAGATCTGACTGTGAGCTCACATATTTTTGTTGCGTTAAGCTGCTAATCACTTGATAATTTGTTTTGCAGCAATACTAAATTAAGGGCGCACTGTATCCTGAAGAGCCCCATTGCCCACAACAAAATAAATGAATGAATAAAACAGTTTCTTTCTATGATGAGAATGATGCAAACTCTGTAATCCAAAATATGGAGTCTAAGTCTCATTCCAGAAGGAGAGGAATAAGAAAATATGAATACAAATTCAATTACAATAAGCTTCTTCTGGAACCCCAGATTTTCATCCTTGAAGGAATGCTCCATGAAGACTGTGATGGCTTCCCTCTCACAGGCTGTGTGCACCTCCAGCAGCTCCTGGAGTGTGTCTGTGGGGAACTGCACCCGCTGGGCCATCTGCTCACTGTAGTGGTCAGCTGCCTTCTGCAGGGCTGCTGAGTTCTCACGCTGGGCCAGAGTGGTCACTGCATTCTCCAAGCAAGGAATGGTTCCTTTGTTGATGGCATCTACGTAGGTTTCCAACAGAGTCGCCAACCCTAGTTGACAGGGAACACATGGGTAGTCTTACCCATCATTTTTACAACTTTAAGCATTGCCTTTAGAATAATCACAAAAATTATCTTCTTTTCCTTCTGCACTTATTGTTCTTCCTTGGTCATCTCCTCTGTAAATGAACCACTATTTAATAACACTGCTTTTCCTATACACTCCTTCTTTTATAGTTCTCATATTCACCCCATTTAGCAATTACTGATTGCAACCAAGAGGTTTTTACTGTTTCCTAGAAAAATAATTTCCTGTTCAAATAAAATGAAAAAGAGTATTAGAGAAAGTAAGTTACATAATTTTTGAGTATTGATTTAAAATAAAAATGCAAGTATTCTTGTAAAAACAATATCATCATAAATTTACAGAAGGCAATATAAAGCTTTGAAGCAGGCATAGTACCTTCTCCACATGGGGACTTCACTATTGCATAGAACACATGCTCCTGAAACCAATGCTGTTTAAATTTGTTTCTCAAAAACACAATGAGCAGGCCTGGGACTCATGACCTGCTGATTCTTTTCTGACTAGTTTCAATTCATGAAATATCTTGTATATTCTCACAGGGATACATTCAATCCTATGGGACTTTCCATCTACTTGCAGATTTCTCTCCTTAGCAGTAGCTTCTGATGAGTACACTTCCTTAGGGTGCTCATTTTGTGAGATGTGGTAGACTTCAACAAGTCCTCAGATATGAAAATTTTAAGGAAAATGCATTTCTGTGTGTGGCATGAATGCCTGATTCTCCACATTTCTTACAAAAGCAAACAGAATTACTGACAAACTCACAAAAGAATCACAGTGTTATCATCCATACTGAACCCCCCAGAGACATGCTTTGGGACAACAGAAACTCACGATTTCCAGTGACAGTGATTCGCCCTCTCAGGGTCTTGGTCTTTGCATTGGTGAAGACATAGGAACAGAATTTTTTTAATTGCTCCTGGAAATTGCTTTCCAGTTGGTTTTGTGGAACTTTATCAATGTGGGACAACAGGCTTCTGTCATTTGTAGGCCGGTTAAAGACAAAGCACTTTCGTTTTGGAAAGAAATATCTGATACACTCTCTAGACATATTGGAATTTTGGATATTGGGATTCTTTCCTGTAAAAAGAACACAGGAGACAAGTCTGCAGGCAAAGGGATTGAGGTCTTTTCTAAGGATTTTTGTCTAAATGTAGATCACAATCTACAAAGCAGTGTTATGTAAACTTAACTTGAATATCTGTTTTTTGAACTGAGAGTCAAGGAATTATTTTTGGTTAGAAAAGGGAGATGCTCATCTCAAATGGAGAAATTTGTAAATGGTCTCCTTAACACTTGTGTAGTAGCAAACAAAGTATTTATTAAAAGTTTGAAATGACTGATTAATCACAAAAATTGTTAAGAAGACTTTTCTGATATTGTCATCCTAAGTCATAAATAAGATGTGGGCTCTTAAGTGAAGTAATACTAGAAATAAGGACAAGATATTGCTGGTAAAAATGACATGAGGAGGACAGATGATACCCAGAAATGTAGAGAAAAATCCTTCAAAATCAAAGCCCCCAATCCACACATCATAATTATGTTTAGAAATTACTTCAGCAAAAAACTCCAAAGTAAAGTAAATTTCAATGTGATGTGTATTTATTGATGTGAGGTTATTTTGGACTTGACTTTGTCTCAGAGAGATTCCAAGACATAAATCAACTGTTCAAAATAAATGTTAGTCCAAAGAATAAATAAATATAGGTATTGATAAGTTCTAGTACTTATCTATTCTGCTAAATATACTCCATGTGATAAATTTATGATAGTAACATGAGTTACTGTGGAATAAATAACATGAGCTTGTCAGGAAGGTAAAATGAAAGGTTAAACAATTTCGCTGGAATTATGTATCATTGTGTGTTTTTCATTGAACCATTCATTATACAAACGTCTTTTCTCCGAAGGCTGTAACTATCTACTTTGATAAATGAGTGAAATATTTCTAAAATTGGGTCATTAAATTTCCTGTGATTCTGGGCTTACTCATTTCTAGTTTGATAAACTCTTTTCCTCAAAATACGAGGAACAGTTATACTTCATAAGTAATGAATATATGAGCCTTTAAAATGGTGGCATTGAATGTAATCCTCATTATTTTTCATGGTACTGGTTGTTCTACAATTATTGGGATTAATATTGAGCCCTAAATTTCCTTAATGAATCTAAATTTTAGCCTCTGAAGATTTTTATGAAATAATAAATGAAAATCATGCCCCCTGTCAAAATCATTAATCACCATTAGCAAGGGCCTCAATTTAGTCTCATATATATAGAAGTAAAAGTCAGTGCTTAGTTGATCCCACTTCCTTACTGAACCTCCCCACAACAAGGCTGCCCTCAGATACCTTTAATCAGCTTCAAGGCATTCTCCAGGTACTCATCTTCTGTGATGGGTTGTCCATCCAATTCCAGCTCCAGCATGAAATCTCGAACAGTCCACACAAAGTCTGGAAAGAATCTTACAAACTCAGAGGAGTCCTCTACTTCATCTGGTGTGGGGTCAGATTTTGCCCTGATTAGTTGTGTTAGTTCAGTCACATAGCTGGGATCTTAGCTAAGGAATGAGAAGCATCACAATTTACATCTCCATTAGAAACAAGTTTTATAAACATTCTTTTTCCCTATATCCATATTTACTCAATCAAGACAATTAAGTTAGAAGAAAGAAAAAACAGCCTCAGTTGCCATTCTTTCAAAGTCAATGAAACATAGTTGTTTGGTTCTCGGAAGGATACTGTAGCTGCTCCAGGGCAATGCGGTCAATGTTGCCCATGCTGTTATAGACAAATAAGCTGCTGAGAAGTACAGCTAAGGCAAAGATCCAGGAGTCATTCTTAGGGTCAACCTAGGAATCACATGGGAACAAAGAATTTAGGAGTCCACTCTTCATTCATTCATTGAGTTGTTCACACCTTCTTTTTTGTGGGGGTAGACTGGGGATTGAGCTCAGGAGTAATTGACCACTAAGCCACATCCCCAGTCCTATTTTGTATTTTATTTAGAGACAGGGTGTCACTGAGTTGCTTAGCGTCTTGCTATTGCTGAGGCTGGCTTTGAATCCTTGATCCTCCTGTCTCAGCCTCCCGAGCCGCTGGGATAACAGGCTTGAGCCACTGCTCCTGGCTTCATTCCTTCTTTTAGCTGTACTATTTATGAATATAGATGAAATAACAACATTTTAAGATAATGCTAAATTCAAATCTATTGATATTTATATTGGTCCTTCTCAGGACAATAGTTTGTTTAGCTATGAAGGCCAATGAAGGTCATTCTCAGTGCACATAAAATAGTTAATAAAATGCCTAGAACATAGTAGATATCCCATAATAAGTGGACAATTAGTCATTACAAATTTCATTGTCATCATGGCTATATTAAGGATGCAAGCACTTTCCAATTAATTTCAACAACCCTTTTTTCAACATCTGACAATATACCAGACACTGCATTTGATTTTGTAGATACAAAGTTTCCATATGATAGTCCCTGCTCATGGGAATATCACTTTATGAAGAAGAAGATACATGTAACAACATATAAACACAGCTCAAATGATAACCTGTGAGGAGAGGAAACCAAAGTAGAAAGATAGAGAGAAAGAGAGAAAGAGAGAGAGAAAGAAAGAAAGAAAGAAAGAAAGAAAGAAAGAAGGAAAGAAAGAAAGGAGGGAGGGAGGGAGGGAAGGGAAGGAAAGAAAATAGGAAAATAATTAGTGGGGTGGGGAGTTCCATGTATGTGTGTGAATTACTGGGAGTTCAGAGCAAGCAATCATTAGCTGAGGTTTAAAGAGCTGATAGAATAGGGACTTGTGGAGATGCAAGGGTCCAGCAAGTGGAAGGACCAGCAGCAGCAAGTCTCACTTGTTACAGTACAAGTTTCTTTTATTTCACTGAAGCTGTGAGTATGCAGGCCAGGGTGAAAAGAAGCCTGAAATGAGATAACAGCAAGACTTAAAGGCTTTGAAATAGATCCAGATCCTGTTACAAGTCCTATTATCAGCCATCGATTCTGCTTGTTTCAGCTTATGTGTTGTTCTCTTGAAAACTGCAATTAGATATTAAAAAAGGGTTTTATGAAAACCAAAACATATTACAAATCAATAAGATTCAGACTAATATAAATTATGATAAAAGACTGATTACAACTAATAATGTAAAGATGAATTACCTAAAATTTTATCATTTGCTAAATTTTTGTTCAGTCTAGCTCATGCTTTTAGTCAGTGAAAATTTCATATCCGGAACTCAGAGACCAAAATCTTATTGATAAAGCTGAAGATTATTTAAATGAATTCTTTCCCCAAAAGCCTATTTTCATGGTCTCTACCTTTAAAGGTACCAAGCCCACTGACCCCACACATTACAGCTTTCTTCAGGAAGCTATCCATAAACCTCATAACTCTCATAGCTAGATCCCACTTTTTGCATCTCTTTTTTCCTACTGATCTCATTTCATATTTCTTGTCTCTATAACAGGGCTCAAAGTCTTTACCTTATTGAGTGATATATTTGTAGTACTTAGCACAGAGCCCTAGACTTCAGCTATTTAATGTGTATTTATTAAATTAAATTGTACATCTCAATATTAAAAATAAAAGATCTAGAGCAGAGCCACCGCCCGCGCTGTAAGGTAGGCAGACCTGCGACCGACCAGCAGAACAGGCCCAGTGGCCCGCCGGCGTGGTAGACACATCACCCCAATTGGAGGAAGGGCCCAGCTGCCGTCCGCAAGATAGACAGACCGCGTGTCCCGGAGAAGGGGCCAACGGCCCGCCAGCCTAGTTGAAAGATCACCCCAATTGGAGGAGGGGCACAGCCACCGCCTGCTCCTGCAAGGTAGGCAGACCTGCAACCTGGACAACAGGCTCAGTGGCCCGCCAGCATGGTAGACAGATCACCCTTAATGGAGGAGGGGCCCAGCTGTTGCCCGCAAGGTAGGCAGACCACACGATCTGGAGAAGGGGCTCAGCGTCCCGCCGGCGTGATAGACAGATCACCCCAATTGGAGGAGGAGCACAGCCGCCGCCCGCCCCTGCAAGGGAGACTTTGCAACTATACAAGAGCAATATAAATATATATGGGGGAAATTCAATAACACAACAGTTTCACCAAGCAGAAAGAAACAAGAGCAGGATGAAAAGACAAGGAAAGAAAGGACCACAAGCAATGCAGCTCAACTCAACTTTAGAAGAGGTAATATCTGCAGCAGATGGAATGTCAGATAAAGAATTCAGGATTTACATGCTTCAGATGATCTGGAGTCTCAAGGAAGACATTAGACAGCAAAATCAGACAATGAAAGATCACTTCAACAATGAATTACATAAACAAATCCAAGAAGCAAA